CAATTGGACCCAACTTCGGGATCCAAAACAAATTCTCTATTTTGAGATTGAAGATTTTTAAGATTTCAAGATTTTTGTTTTAAACCAACAACTACAAGAGAGCAGGGAAAGATTAGTAGGAGGAAATTCGATGCTTTTTTTTTTTCCCCCAAAAAATGTAAAGGGAATTATACAAAACTGTCTAGAAATACTTAAGGCTGTAAAAAGTTCTAAATCATTCTCATTTACTCCACTTCCGGGATTACTTCCGTAATAAGGATAATAAGATTGATGTGAAGATCACTTACTAGGTGGAAACTACTTTCCGACATTGTTGAATTTAATCCCTGGTGTCACTGTGGAAGCTGCGTATTGTATTGTTTCAGGGTTTGGAAATAGAGGTTCAGAGAAGTGAAAAAGCTCACCCAAGGTCAACCAACTAAGATACGGGACCTACCTCACAGGATTGTTGTCTTAAATGAGTCATATTTGTTAAGTGCTTAGAACAGCATCTAGCATGTAGTAAATGTTATATAAGTTTTAACTAGTACTGATAGAATGTAACAGGTCCGAGATGCAAATTCAGATTGGTATGACTCCAGAGATGACATAGTTTGAATATCCTGCACTGGCTGGCTATGTATTATTTTCAGCAGGGGCAGGAAAAAGTAGTCCTAACTTCCCATTACCTCAGTCTAATATTCCTTGAGTGTAGTTACTAATTCTGATTTTCCCTAAAAAAAAAAAAAAAATTGTATTACTCAGTCACATAGGTTTCTCTCTCACCAAAGCCTGGGGATCCTGCTTAGGTGGAAAGGTAAGTAAATACCTACTATCCCATTCAAAGGACCCTCACATAAATTGGATTCTTTTAAATCATTAGGAAAAGGACGTTTGGGTGGCTCAGTCGGTTAAGTGTCTGCCTTTGGCTCAGGTCACGATCCCGGGATCCTGGGATCGAGCCCCACTTCGGGCTCCCTGCTCAGCAAGGAGTCTGCCTCCCCCTCTCCCTTTGCCACTCCTCCTCCACTCATGCTCTCTTTCTCTCAAATAAATAAAATCTTTAAAAAATTATATATGTGTGTGTGTATATATATATATATATACATATATATATATAAAATTAGGAAATGTTGTGATAGAAATCCCTACCCTAACATCATGCAGGAGAAATTCACCTTGGATTAGTCTTTCCCCAAAATAAAAATCATCTGAGTGCCACAAGAGAAAAAGTAAGTTTGGTTCAGTTGGTTCCTTTCCCATCACCTGCACGCAGCTCTCCCTGAGGAACAACGTAGCTTCCATAAGAATCCAACCCCTGTAAGCAAAAGGAAAAATAGTGGATGTACCTGTGATTGCAAAAGAAATTTCTATATTCAGTCAGATAGAAAGATTGGTCATATGTTTTTACTTTTTTATTTTTTTCTTGGTTCAGAAAAGTTTAAAGTACAAAAAAGCATGAAGTGAAAACTCTCCCAACTCTGTCTCCTTCCTCCTAGTTCCCATCTCTGTACTCCCCCATAACTACTGCCGTTTCCTGAGTGTCCTTTCAGAGTTTCTTTATATATACACAAATAAACATGAATATATTCCTTCTTTTTCACTTCCCCTTCACAGAAAAGCAGCATGCAGCATTAACTTTTCTTTTGCTTTTTATTTTTGACTTAGCAGTAGGATTTTGGAGATCTTTCCATGTCGGTACATAGAAAACGTCCTCTTTAATACTCTTTTTTTAGTTCTACCATAATTAACATAACAAGTCTCCTCTAGGTAGATGTTTATGTTGTTTCTTTTTTTTTTTTTAAGATTTTTATTTATTTGATGGACAGAGATCACAAGTAGGCAGAGAAGCAGGCAGAGAGAGAGGAGGAAGCAGGCTCCCTGCTGAGCAGAGAGCCCGATGCGGGGCTCGATACCAAGCCCGATGCGGGGCTCGATACCAGGACCCTGAGATCATGACCTGAGCCGAAGGCAGAGGCTTTAACCCACTGAGCCACCCGGGCACCCCTGTTTCTTTTTTATTTTAAAGGAAGTTTTATTTTATTTTATTTTTTAGAGAGCACAAGCACAGGCAGCAGAGGGGAGAGGGGTGTAGAAGGAGAGAGGGAGAGAATCTTAAGCAGGCTCTACTCACCAGCACAGAGCCCAACACAGGACTCAATCTCGACCCTGAGATTATGACCTGAGCTGAAATCAAGAGTCAGACGCTCAACCAACTAAACCACCCAGGTGCCCCATTTAGGTTGTTTCTACTCTTTTGCTCCTACAAGACTATGATGAATAGGACTGAATCAATAAATTTTAATTTACTGAATGTTTAAAAAGCAATGTGTTACCATTACTTTCAGCAGCAGTAACTTTCCTGTAAGACATTTCCAAATATCAACCCCTTAAGATCTGCTTTTACGAATAAATGAGACCTATTTCTAATAGGAAATATTATTTGCATGGGAAAATTGTTTCAAAATTGTCAATTTTAGTTTATCCTTTTAAGTATTTTCCTGCATGTTTATTTACACTTATTAACTTAATGGGCATTTTGTCCTGGAAAATATCAGCCCAGAACAGAGCCAATCATCATGAATTTTAAACTAATAGAGTCTGGATTAGAGAAATATTTTACTTAATCTTCTAAACTTGTCTTAAACTCTGTACAGAGAATTCTGAATTCTATATGTATTTACAACATTGTCAGCTTTACTTGGAAATAGTCAGAGCAGTATTCTTTTTCTTAAAAAAATTTAAAGTGTAAATAAAATCTTTAAAAAAAAAAAAAAAGGGCGCCTGGGTGGCTCAGTGGGTTAAGCCGCTGCCTTCGGCTCAGGTCATGATCTCAGGGTTCTGGGATCGAGTCCCGCATGGGGCTCTCTGCGCAGCAGGGAGCCTGCTTCCCTCTCTCTCTCTCTCTGCCTGCCTCTGTCTACTGTGATATCTCTCTGTCAAATAAATAAATAAAATCTTTAAAAAAAAAAAAAAAATTTAAAGTGCAGGGATTATTTTAAAAATTACTTTATGTCAAATGCATTACTTTTATGATTTGCTTCTTAACAACCTCGTCTAGAATTCAGGCTAGATTTGAGGTGAGTTTCAAAAATTATTGCCGAGATGAAATGTGACAATTTAATACTTATTTTCATTGTGAGCTAGGTACGTTTTCCCATCTGTCTTAACATCAATTAGTAAACAAGCCGCTTATGAAGCTGTAGGGTTATCAGTTGGCATGAAGGGCAATGCCTCTGTTCAAGAAATTGAAATCTGATTGAGAGGACAAAATATTCATTAAAAGAAAGGCAACAGCAAAGTAACAACTAAAAGTTACACAGCACTTACTAGGTACAAACCATCATGCTGAGTATTTTACAAATACTACTTTATTGCAAGTTCACAAAGAACCCTACAAGATAAGTACAATTATCCATCATAATCATCCCATTTTACAGATGGGGAATTGAGGCACAAGGTGGTTGAACACTGTAGCTAGAGTTACACAGCTGGCAAGGGGCAAAAGCAGGATTCAGATTCAAATTGTCTCACTGGGGAGGCCACACATGTGACCAGCCCTCTTTTTTTTTTTTTCTGTTTTTTTTTTTTTTTAGTTTCAATATTAAGGTTTATTTTTTTCCCACAGTGAGATTAAGTATCAATTTAAATAATTATCAGGATGTATAAATGAACATTCATTCAGTTAAATATTACTGCTTTAAAAGTGACTAATAAATATTTTGTATGTAATCAGCATAGTTTACGTTTAGATTAACAGTCACCATCTTGAGAGCAGAAAAGGTATTTTTAACCAATAAATAAATTACATTCGAGAAAAGAAGATATTTATATCTGAAGTATGATACATCCTTAAATGTTTTTCTTCATATAGCACCCAAACTTCCCAAATGTCTAGGAAGTATCTCCCAAAATATAACTCATACCTTAAGTCATTAAAATAAAGGCCAAGAAAAAGCCAATTTAAGACAAAATATACAGTTTATATTCTTAATTCCCCATTCAATAAAATATCAATTGCCCATTTATTAAAAGTAAATGAACTGTATATATGTTAGTGCTGAAAATCTGAAATATAATATTTTTAGAAGTCACTCTTTCTCAAAGTACTTAGAATCTTGCATCTCTGGTGGCAAACCTGAGAAGTAGCAGGCATTTTACTTCCGCAGTTTTCATTCTTCCACTTCCAAAAGAATGGATGCTCACACCGCCTCTTGAGCGTGGTGGCAGTCAGACAGTGAAGCAGAAGGACTCCAGAGAAGGCAAAGATCTTAGCGGTCAGGGAGAGTTTCAGAGGGAACAGGATTTGAGAAGCATTGGGGAGCACATTCCAAACCTCCTGCCTCTACCGTGAGCACCGCGGGAGGACAGCCTTTCAGTTGGGTTTCTCTGGCTTTTTGCACAATAAATACCCTAAAAATAAGAAAAACATTGCAGGAACAGTCGTTAGGCAAGAATGGCCATGGTGTTTAGGGCTGGACACTGAGGAGACCTATTTCCGTAAAGCGATGCTAACATACAGAGAAGTAGCCAGGGTAGGCGGGTTAGGACCAGATCACACACGCTCTGTGTGCTGGGCTGAGAACTGAGGCTGTAGGCTCTCCAGCAGCACCTCTCACACTGTAATGCTTACTGAAGTCACTGGGGTCTTGTTAAATGCACGTCCTCATCCGGCAGGTCGGAGGTGGGCCCCCAAGAGCCCTCATCCGGTGTAAGCTCTGAGTGATGTCGATGCTGCTGGTCTTGGGACCACAGCCCGAGCAGCAAGACTCTAGGCTCTGAGCAGCAAACCGGCTTTGGAGCAGGGGATGTGGATGGGGGGAGAGGGGAGTGATTGAAAGCCCCCTGTGTCACCTCCTCCAAGTTGTGGCCAACAATTTTAAAGACTTCCAGAACTGCGGAATTTTCTTCAGTCTGGTTTATAGAACCTCTCTCTGTATGCCCCACCCCTTCCTTCGGAGGCCAAGACATCTTGCCTTAAGCAAGGTTTTAACCCACACTTTTCCTTTCTTTTGATACAGAGCAAGGCTAAAGAGCTACCCCTCTCGGCTGTGCGTTTTATGGAAGAACTGGGTGAATGTGCCTTTGGAAAGATCTATAAGGGCCATCTCTATCTCCCGGGCATGGACCATGCTCAGCTGGTCGCCATAAAGACCTTGAAAGACTACAACAACCCCCAGCAGTGGACAGAGTTTCAGCAGGAAGCCTCCCTGATGGCCGAACTGCAGCACCCCAATATCGTCTGCCTTCTAGGCGCCGTCACTCAGGAGCAACCGGTGTGTATGCTTTTCGAGTACATGAATCAGGGGGATCTCCACGAGTTCCTCATCATGCGATCCCCGCATTCCGATGTCGGCTGTAGCAGCGACGAAGACGGGACCGTCAAATCCAGCCTGGATCACGGAGATTTTCTGCACATCGCAATCCAGATTGCTGCGGGCATGGAGTACCTGTCTAGTCACTTCTTTGTCCATAAGGACCTTGCGGCTCGCAATATTTTAATCGGGGAGCAGCTTCACGTAAAGGTTTCAGACCTCGGGCTTTCCAGAGAGATCTACTCTGCCGATTACTACAGGGTGCAGAGTAAGTCTCTGCTGCCCATTCGCTGGATGCCCCCTGAAGCCATCATGTATGGCAAATTCTCATCTGATTCAGATATCTGGTCCTTTGGGGTCGTCTTGTGGGAGATTTTCAGTTTCGGACTGCAGCCCTACTACGGATTCAGCAACCAAGAAGTGATCGAGATGGTGAGGAAGCGACAGCTGTTGCCGTGCTCCGAAGACTGCCCGCCCAGAATGTACAGTCTCATGACGGAGTGCTGGAACGAGATTCCCTCCAGGAGACCCAGATTTAAAGATATTCACGTCCGGCTGCGCTCCTGGGAGGGACTGTCCAGTCACACCAGCTCTACGACCCCTTCGGGGGGAAATGCCACCACGCAGACCACCTCCCTTAGCGCCAGCCCAGTGAGTAATCTCAGTAACCCCAGATACCCCAATTACATGTTCCCGAGCCAGGGTATCACGCCACAGGGCCAGATTGCTGGTTTCATTGGCCCACCGATACCTCAGAACCAGCGATTCATCCCCATCAATGGATACCCAATACCTCCTGGATATGCGGCGTTTCCAGCCCCCCACTATCAGCCGGCAGGTCCTCCCAGAGTGATTCAGCATTGCCCGCCTCCCAAGAGTCGGTCCCCGAGCAGCGCCAGTGGGTCCACGAGCACCGGTCATGTGACCAGCTTGCCCTCTTCGGGATCCAACCAGGAAGCCAACATTCCCTTACTACCGCACATGTCCATTCCAAATCATCCCGGTGGAATGGGTATCACCGTTTTTGGCAACAAATCCCAAAAACCCTACAAAATAGACTCAAAGCAACCATCTTTGCTAGGAGACTCCAATATTCATGGACACACCGAATCTATGATTTCCGCAGAACTGTAAGATGCACGACTTTTGTAAATGTGGTATCCAGGAAAAACTAGAAAGCTGTAGGAAAGATTTAAATTCAAAGGTTTTTGTTTTTGTTTTTGTTTTTGTTTTTATTACAGTGAGGTTCTCATTTAGCAGACATTGGAACAAGTATCTTCTGTGAAGTTTAAGTGTGTCTTACCAAGCAGGGCAGACACCAGCCAGAAAAAAAAACAAACCAAACCAAACAAAAACGTTGTGGGATTAACCCTCCATCAGGGGTACATGACATGGCATTGGGATTGGGACATCTGGTTTCAAGTACTAAAAACTGCCAGCCAGTGAAGAGGAAAAGAATTCTGTGATTAAATATCAAACCAATAAGGAAAGTCAGTGGTGCTTTGTGTATTTGCCTTCGTTCTCCATGACTGGTCTCTCCCCAAAATGTATATACCGTAGCATTTGTCTACCTGCTGTCTTATCTCCAAGACATATGTTCAGGATTTATGTCCATTCAATTTAGACTTTATGCATATGTGTATGGAAATGATATTCAGAATCAATGAGGAAACTTTAGGCCAAAATTGAAATCCCAGAGGGAATCGAGCCATAAGACAAGTATTAGATCCCCCGAAGCCTTCTACACAGTGGGGCTTCTTTGGGAAGGTGCAGAGTGTGCCTCTTTGTGAATTTCCTTTGCTGATCACGAAGGCCTTTTCCACACTAACCTTTTCCACAGTGTGTTTACACAAGCACTTGAAATAATACAGGGCGTCAGACCATAAGAGGGCTAGATGTGGATGCCGGAATTGATTGTTGGTTGATAGTTCCATCCGCTGCATTAGAAATGAGGAACCAAAGGAAGCACAGTCAGGAAAATGGCTCCTTGGTCTAGATCAGCACCCATGGGAGAGGAACAAAGGGGCTCATGGGGACAGCCTCACAGGGGCTTCCCTGGACCCATAACATTGAAGAGGAGAGGTGTGGCTGAGACCAGCACATCAGTGCTACAACCTCCTGCAGAGGGGCTCTCACCCTCACAGAACTCTGGGCAAGTAGGAAACTCTATGACACCAGTATCTAGTTCAAGCTTCTCTTTCACCTTTTCTTTTCTGATCTGGAAATGTTCACAAATGTTAGGCCAGCACCAGAAGTTACGACGATTTATTCATAGAATTGGTTGGAATCCAAAGACTACGAATTCTAGTTTGCAAATAAATTATCACAGTATTTTTAGAGAACAGGTACTGAGTTCTCATTTCAAAGGTTACCGTGAGCTGAATTTTTTTAAACTTGTGAATAGAAGGAACGTAATCATTTTTGCCTTAGTTAGGAGGGAGGCATCAAATGTGCAGCTCATGCCACTTGCCTGCCAGCCATCTTTTGCCAAGTTGAGAATTCTTACGGTTTCAAGTTCTATATAGGAAGAAACGTTATGTTTTATTTTTTTTCTCTTGTTAAAAAAATAACTCCTTTATTCTAAGAGCAGTGTCTCAAAGTCTCATTTCTTTTTTTGATTTTACAGCTAAAGAGATTTTTAAAGAGACTTACAGGATATAAAATGATTCCTGGAAATGATATTTAATGAGGAGAATGCAAAGGGATTAGAAGCACATTGATGTTTCAGTTTTGTAAAAAAAAAAAAAAAAAAAAAGGCAATTAGGATGAGAAATCAAGGAAATATGTTTAGGAAATATGTTGTAATTTTCCCAAACACTGAATCTTCAAACAATAAACATGGACTTATTGCTACTGTGAACGCAAAGAATTGGCTATATCCAGTTTTAGTGGGAGATAAATTAAGAAATATTTTTGTGACATAAATAAGCTGATTCAAAAGTTATATTTCTGAACTTTAGGTAGAGGAGAATATTTGTATCCTTTTGTTGCTATGCAACTGTTTAATGATGAAGATTCAAACCACAATTTTGTATATCATACGACAATCAATTGTTTTCCAAGAATATTTATTATTTTAAGTAAACACAATTTCAGTGAATCTGACTTTTTCTAGGAGTCCCTTAAAGGGAAATTAGCATTCCATGAGCCAGTTAAATACCTACTCTGGAAAAACATTACTATGGTTAAAAAATAAATTCAAGTTAGTTTTTTATAAAGAACTATAACATTTATTTTAAACATTTTATAATTACTGAGGACATTAAGGTGAGCAAACCAAATTTCAAAACCACTTGTAATAATGTATTTTATAATAGCACTGTGATACTACATAACACAGTCCCTTTTGTATTAAATAGTATTTTTTTTCACAAACTGAAAAATCTTTCGCTTTGTTGACAATGTTTTGTAAGATGATTTTATTTTCAGCTCTTTTCTTTCCTTTTTTTTTTTTTGCACAAAATTATGTTTATGGTTTGTATCACAGAAGTGAAAATATATCTCTGCATTTTTATATCCAGTCTGTTTCTTTGTTTCCTTTGTTTGTTTCTTTTTAACTCGATATAGATTTTCTTCAAATATATCATGGCAATATTCAACTATCTTGCCCTCCCATATCTTTTCTTATTTTCACTGCATGCATTTAATCACTGTATTACTTAATGTTTGATTTGTTATTATGGGCATTTCAAATAGACAAGCATGGATGTAATGACAAAAAGGCTATTTTATATTGAGGATATGTGCATTTGTATTTCACACACCAGAGATGATATTAAACACTGATTACTTTATGCTGCTGTTTATTAAAAATGTTTACCATATAATATTATTTCCTGAATATTACAATCATGGAGAGGTATTTGGGAATTTTAATATTATTTCTCCTAATTATTGACATTTCATAGAAAAAGGAATCATAATTCCTATTCACTGTTTTTTCATTGAAGTGATTTTTTTTTTCCAAGTAGGCTTTTAACATAGACTTGGGCATTCTTTTGCCAGCGAACACAGGGGGAAGGGAAAAATCCCAATGATTTCATGACCATATACCAACCAACTCTATATGGCAAGATTTTAGTTTTTAAAATCAAAATAATATATTGAATAATTACAACCAAATGGAATGTAAAAATTGGTTTTTTGAAGTTGCATCCTTTTCTGCCTTGTTTCCATGTGAACTTAGACATCAAAAATCATGTCTTAGAACTCTGAAGAAGAAAAAGCTGTGTACATCTTATCGTGTTCAACTTAGATTCCAACCATTCTGATAAAATAAAAGAAATGTGGCCGTTTAATTGTCACAGCTTATCTTTATGACCTTCTTTGCCCAAAAGAAAGAGTTCCCCATCTGGCAATTAATACACACTGTCAAGGAAAATGAGTATCATTATGAAAGTTCAAAGAACTTGTCCATTCTGCTCTTTAATACAGAAGGGAATACAATAAAACCTTCAGGGCCTTATCCATCTGTTTTAGGTACAGTTCTTGTCACCACCTCAGCAATCAAACTCAATAAAGCAGTCACTTCACATGGCAACGAGATCGATGTCAGGTTGGGTTTCTCCCTCGCACGTGAATTCTTCAATCTGCCCTTCACTCCTGTTTCCTTCTGTCTCTCCAGGCTCTTACCTTCCCACCATCCCCAGTCCCTCTAGCTCTGTGATTTGGGCCTTACCCTTGGTTCCTTAGTCACCAACATCTGCACCTCAGATAATGCTTACTGCAAACCCCTGACTACTGATTAAAGGGAGCTCTGTATCTGCCTTCCCAGTGGTTCACGGATGATGACCCATCCCAGTGGTTCACAAGAGTGCAGTCCTCAGACGAGCAGACTTTGGAACTTGTCAGAAATGCAAATTCCCAGGCCCCTCTTTGAAGCACTGAATCAGAAATTCTGGGGTGGGACCCAGCAATTTGTGTTTTAACAAATGCTTCTGGATTCTAAAGATCGAGAATCACGTTAAAGGCCTCGGGGTGGATGTGGGGGAATGGTCATTACCTCCTTAGAAATGTATATATAAGCATTTAATAACATTTTAGCCACTTTAGTTCCCCTAAGGAAAATCAAGTTTTACTTAATGAAAAATTTAGCACTAAAACGCTTTTTGCTTTAACCATTGCTTTAACCATTTGCTTTAACCATTTAACCATTAACAATTTAAATATAACCATTTAACAATTGGTTAAGTTTTTGTAGTTGTTCTCTTGGATAGAAAGCTAATAGCCCTGGCCTTTGACAAGACTACCTTGTCTAGTTCACTCAAGACCCATATTCTTGGGTAGTAATCCAATAGTAAACCCTTCGTGTGGACCAGCTCAAAAGACTTGGTCTCCTGGCAGTGACGATTAACACAACTAAAAGAACTCTCTGTGTTGCAACTTGCCAAATTTAGGGTCAGGGGTAGGCTGTTCTTTCTTTTTTTCCTTTTTTTTTTTTTTTTTTATTATGTTCAGTTTGCCACCATATAGTACATCATTAGTTTTTTATGTAGTGTTCAACGATTGATTAGTGAGATGTTCTTCAACAGAGGAATGGATAAAGAAGATGTGGTCCATATATGCAGTGGAATATTACTGAGCCATCAGAAAGGATGAATAACCACTATTTGCGTCGACATGGATGGAACTGGAGGGGATTATGCCAAGTGAAGTAAGTCAAGCAGAGAAAGACAATTATCATGTGATTTCACTCATATGTGGAACATAAGGAATAGCATGGAAAGCCATAAGGGAAGGGAGGGAAATCTGAAAGGAGAGAAATCAGATGGGGAGTCGAACAATGAGAGACTATGGACCCTGGGAAACAAACTGAGGGTCTCAGAGAGGAGGGTGATGGGGGGAGGGGATAATAAGATGTGCGAGAGGCTGGTCTTTCTTGGGAGGAGGAAAGATCCAGCTCCCAGTAAGCATCAAGCAGAAACAGCTGCAGAGGCCTCCCCCCCCCCACCCTCCCCCCCCACCCAGCCCCCTGAGCTTCCTGTGACAAGCTGACCCAATTGGCTGGATGCAGTCACCTGTGGCGGATCCCCTATGTTCCTTTGCCAGAGGCAGTCCATCAGTCCTTGCTAGCTAGCTGTGAGGATTCCTCTGCTCAGATTATGCTCCCCACAGCCGTTAGAGACCGAACTCTGAGGGAAGACAGCAAGGATTCAAGGGAAGTGCTGGAGGTGAAGCTCATACTGTTCTTAATTTATACAGCATTTTTTTTTCAACTAATAGTTCAAATGCTAGGGAGGAAACGCTCTATTAGAGGAGAAGGAGCAAGGGATCGCACACTTAAGAGGAAAATGTTTGCAGCCAAAATATGACTGCACCTGAAGCTTGTTACCATAAATGCCAAGAGTATTAATGAGTCTGTTAACTCAGAGGAAGGAGAGCCTTACAAACCATCAAAGTACTCAAGGTCAATGTAATCCCCTGGGAAATTAGGCAGGGAAAGGCTTAAAAAATAGAGACATACAGGGAGAAGTTCTGCTGACATATTTATGACTAGCTGAATCCCAAGCACCTCGGAATTGCTTATTCACAAAAGAGGACTCTACCATTTGCTGACCAGGCCTGACACGGTGTTCATCCTCACCAGCATGATCAGGTTAGTAAGTACCGTTAGATACTAAGCGGGAATGGTTACGTTAGGAGAAAGGCCTTTCTTTAAAATTAGATAGGACGTTCCTTGTGCTTTGAAAAAGGCCAGTATCCTGACATGCTGAATACAGGTAACTCGGGGAATATTCAGCGTGAAGGAAAGTGGTTCTGAATATCAGTCTTTGTGGACCTGCTCTTGACGGAAATTCAGGTCACACACAAAACAACAGAACTGGCTGCACACAGCCTAGGCTCATGCTAAAGCTCTTCCTGAACTCAGAGGCACATGGATTTTGAGCAGAAAGAGGGAGAGATCAGACTCCGCCCTACAGCAGGTGTTCCTTGATCCCTGCAGGCATCGAAATGGTCATCTCGGTTCTCAGTGGGGCTCATTCTAATACAGTTCTCTGAAAGGTTTGAGTCCACACACCTTAAAAATCACTTGGAAGTGGGGTACCTGGGTGGCTCAACTGACTAAGTCTCGATGGCAGCTCAGGTCAAGATTTCAGAGTCGCAGGATTGAGCCCTGGGTTCAGTTCCGTGCCATATGGAGTCTGATTCTCTCTCTAACAAATAAACAAAATCTTCAAAAAAAAAAAAAAATCGCTTGAAAGAGACTGAAACTCCCCAATTGCATGATCTAGGTAGTTTATGAAGAGTCAACCTAGTAAGATTAAAACTACTATTCAGGCAAAATGACAGCTTAGGGCCTTTTTATACTT